ATAAGGTCAAATTTTGTAAAATAAGCTCTCACCTAGCAATGTACTAATGGGAGAGATACTTGCTCAAGGAAACTATTTTTATGGTATTTTTGAAACTATTTTTATGGTACCTATTTTTTTAAAGTGATCGAGCAAAAGTCTGCCGCCAAGTTGCCAAACTTACATACATTACATCGTTTTTCTTGGCGGAAAAAGTAATGATTTATTATCTTTTTTGGATTGCTGACTTGGCGGGGAAAGTGTTACCACTTAGTGGTTTTTTGTTAGATTTTATTTATTTTTGTAGAAAATCAACAGTTAAAATAAAAATCCTCTTTTCTCTGATATATAGACCACGGCACAACTACATCTCATTTAATTTCAATAATATTGTTTGTGTACAACTAAATTCTACATTTTTGGTCTTATCTGCTTTAAACCGATTAAACACTTTTTGACACACGTGCCAAAATTACTATTTAACAAACCCCCTGGGCTTAAACTCAGTTTCAAATTTCATCAATGATCATCTTGAACAACATAAAATGCGTTGGTGTTACATAAGTGTTCTGATAATTAAACACCTGATATCTAAAGACTAGTGTAAATTGAGCCTTTATTAGAGAAGTAAAACTGTAATCAAACAGATTAGGTTTGTTAGAAATAGCATAAGACAAAACAAGTATTGAAAAACTCATTTATCCTAAATTTACATATCACTTTTTAATTGCTTGTTTAACATTTCCCGATTGTTTTATTTGTTTTAGTGTATCAACATAAAACAAACCTTAGTACTAGTACTAAGTTTCAAGTTCCTAGGTTTCATATGTTTTGATAAGTAGTATTAAACTGTTGAAATGACGAGCTGCTGTACCAGTGTACTATCGGAACACTGCATTTTTCAATGGAAAGTATCGGGGAATATCACTGCTCTAAGTAATTTTATATAGTAAGTAGTTCAAATCATTCGGTATACCTGAAAAAATACTTTATAAAAGTTTTAAAATAATTTTTCAGCTGTTCCTATGAATTTCTCTAACATTAAATTGATTGAGATTTAATCGCAGCTGGTCCTTCTTTTGTTTTGATTTTAATCCCATGTTGTTTAAATAGGCCAAAATCGTACTCTGAGGGCTTGCCAAGGGTTTATGGGTCAACTCACCGACTTGAGACCCTCAAAAGGCACATCTACACGTTAAGGGCTTTCAAACAACATAAAAAACATTAAAATTGAGCCAGTGGTTTGGTCTGTAGGTCCGTCAACATTCAAGGAGAAGGAGAACACGGAAAATTTGTGAATTTTCAAACTAGTTTTTCTTGGCTCAAACACAACCGTTTTTTAAATTCTTTTTTTTATTTTGTTGAGAATGAGTGCCCCTATCCAGTAGATGAATAATTATTTTAATAGCTTTTGTTTCTTCAGAGCTATGGACGAGTAAAAAAGCCACTTTGTCACGTCATGTATATATACACTGCAGCAGCTGTGTACCGCTGGGGGACTTGGCGGGGCGGAACGCTGCCGCGTTCCTTAATATATGAATCAGGGTGTCTAGTCTATTTCCATTTAAAAATTCAAGACTTATTCCAGACTTTTCAAGACTAATTCATTTTCCTTTTATTATAAAACCACGTTTAATTGCTTCGAAGCCAAGAAGTAAGTGCCTTCAGACAGACGGTTGATTTATTTTATTATCTAGAAGGTTGTTTTATTTTAGTTTGTCTTATTCTTCTCTTTATTATTGCAAGCCCCGTACAAGAGGATTCCTTTAGTTTATTCATCGAAGATCATCGTTTAGTCGGCCGGAGGATAGGCCACGGATATTTAATTTATTTTCTTGATTTTACTTATTAATTGCATTTGTCAGTGCGACGGTGTGCTCCGAGTCAGGAGTGCGAAGCCTAATAGCTATTGTGTGATAAGGCTATCGTCGATATTGGGCGCGTCGAGGTGCCGACCTTCTTCATGAGTGCTAGTAGGTTGTCACCCGGTCACCCTAACACCTCCATTGGAGAGACGAAGGTAGAGAGACATCACGATAGGCGAGCGAACCCTGGACGTCTCGAGCTGTCCGAGCGAACGGAGGTAAGTTTAGGATAGGTAAAGCTAACCCGAACAAAACACCTCACAGCACTGGTATAGTGTTGGAAATTGAGTTATTTTTTATATAGTACAAATTCAATATTAATCAACACCAAATATAATATTTTTCAAAATAAACTTATCACACACTTTTTAAAAAAAGGTTCTATATTTCAGCATTAGCCTTCTTCAGGAACAAACAAACAATAACAAATAGAAGTGTTTACCACTCTAAGTCTGATGCGTCTTTTGCCAATTTTCTTATTCCTTTTAACGAATAACATTGTTGAAAATTTTGAGAATGCTCTCTCGCATGAATAGCCACAGGTTTTTGTTTATCAGGATGGTTTACATCATATCTGTGGCCATTCATACGAACTCTAAGAGCATTTGTGGTTTTGCCAATGTAGTCTTTAGGACAATGTTTGCATGAAATTTGGTAAATTACATTAGTAGACTCACAGGTGATGTTACTATTTATGTTATAACATCTTTTAGTATGCCTGCTTGTGAAAGTTTTTGATGGGATGATTAATTTGCAAGTGGCACATCGTGGTTTGTTGCATTGTGTGTTTTTTTTTTAAACATTTTTTTTTTTAAAGTGTGTGATAAGTTTATTTTGGAAAATGATTTAGCCGTTTGGCAATATTATGAAGAAACAAATATAATATTTGTTAGTCTTTGTTTTTATGAACAGATGTTTTATGTTTTAATTTATTTAAACAATTAAGAGTTGTTGTAAGAATTTAAAGTGATCAAGAATATAACAATTCTGTTATAGAGAAATGTTTTAAATATTTGTTATTTATCAGCATTAAATCAGTTCTTTATTATATAATATTTGTAAAAGTTCTTTATTTTACACGAGTTCTAACATAGTGGCGATCGTGACAGGACATTTATAGTTAAAATTCAGATTAGGACTAAAGCTTATATTTGACTTACAATGGATAAGCTGAAGTCATTAAAGACTGAAAGGACTCAACTAAGAAGAACTTTTACAAAGTGCAGAAATGAAATGGACAAATTACTGAATGAAGATAGTAAAGATGAAGTAATAATTAAAAGTAATTTAAACAAGCTGCAAGATAAAGCGGATAGGCTTTTTAATGAAGACATCAAGGAAGCCTTGTTTGAAGATCCTGTAACAAAAGAAGAGGACTTAGAAGATGAGTTTGATACTGCAGAATCTTAAAGACACATGTTATCTTCAATGAGAGCTAAGTATGACAATTTCATTATTCAGGTTGGCCTAAGCCAACAGTCAAGAAGTGAAGTCGGGGATACCGTTCACAGACTTAAATTAGCATCTAAGAAGGGCTTAAGTCTACCTAAATTACAATTAAACCAGTTTGATGGAGATGTAAAAAATTGGATAGGGTTTTGGGGACAGTTTAAAAAGGTCCACGAGGATCCTGATCTAGAACCTGAGGATAAGTTCCAATACCTCATCCAATCCTTAAAACCAGGATCGTCCCCTAGGGAATTAGTAGAAAGTTTTCCACCATCGGGAACTAATTATGTAAAGACCCTAGAACAAATTAAAAGCATGATTTGGTAGGGATGACTTTTTAATACTACCTTAGGTTCATTTGGTGGGAAGACTACAAGACTAGAAAATTGAAAACTTTTAGACATTGCAGAGTTGTCTTTGGAATTACCTCCAGTCCAGCTGTTAGGAACCACACTAAATCACCATTTGGATGACACACCACTTCATCTACAAGAGACAGCTGCGAAACTGAAAGATGCCTTTTATGTTGATAATTGTATTGTTAGTGTTGACTCGGCAGTAGAACTAAAAAAGTTTGTAAATGAATCCATGGAACTAATGAAGCTAGGAAAGTTTGAATTAAAAGAATGGGCTAGCAACTATTCAGATGTCAGTAACCTTAAAAATGAATTTTCAACAGAAAATATCGTACCATTACTGGGCATGTTGTGGGACAGAGAAAAGGATGAGATTTTTTGTGACATACGATCCATTTCTATGCCAAACAAGAAGGTAACCAAACGAGATCTACTCTCAGTAGCCCAGCGAATTTTAGATGTGGTAGGTTTCACTTCTCCTGTGTCTTTATTACTTAAGTTACTCTTGCAGGAGACATGGCTGAAAAAACTGGCATGGGATGAAGAACTTCCAAATGAAATATCATGCCAATTTTCAAAGTGGGTTGAAAATATTCATTGGTTGGAAAGCTGTAGAATACCAAGAAGAATATTTCTGTTAGGGAGTCAGTCCGTAAACGAGACTAGTTTTCACATATTTTGCGATGCTAGTAAACTAGCTTATGCAGCTTGTCTTTTTATCAGAACCAAGACTCAAAACAAGGTGGCTGTGCAGCTTATTTATGCAAAATCTAGGATTTCCCCGAAGAATGCAACAATACCAAGATTGGAGCTGTTGGCCGCACTTATGGGAGCTCGGACCTACACACATGTTCAAAAGGCGTTGAAGATGTCATGTAAAACATATTTTTGGACAGACTCATCAATCGTATTGACATGGATCAAAGAGAAGGAAGATTGGGGGACTTTTGTTGGGAACAGATGCAAGGAAATAGGTAACACTACTTCTAAAGATGATTGGCACCACATTTCAGGAAATCTTAACCCTGCTGATTTGTCCTCAAGAGGTTGCGGAGCTAAGACACTTTATGAATCTCATTGGTGGGAAGGACCGTTTTGGCTTAAAAAAGATGAGTCTCATTGGCCAGTGTCCAGTCTTACGCTACCAGATTCAGAAGCATATAATGAACGGAAAAAGAAGATAGTATCAGCAGTAACTACAGAAAAAAGTATTGACTTCTCAATGTCATTACTATACTTTTCAAGCTATCTAAAACTGTTAAGAATGGTAGCATGGATTTTATTATTTATTAGGAACTCAAGCCACAATCAAGAATCAAAAAGTGAGACTTAAAATAGTGAAGAGATCCAAATGGCTGAAGATAAAGTTATTTTATGTATCCAAAAGAACTCGTTTGGAGAAAAGTCAAAATTCCAGAAAAACTTGCCAGTTTTCTACGATGACAAGGGTCTGTTAAGAGTGAAGATCAGGCTAGTTCTGAATGACGACAGTGAAGATTTCAAATTGCCGATTCTTTTACCTTCAAGTCATCCTATCGTCACACGTCTCATTATGGAACTTCATGTTGCTAATCAACACGCTGGACTTAAATCAATGTTAATTATAGTCAGAGAAAGGTTTTGGATTTTAAAGGGTATAAAAACCATTCGCAATGTTTTATCTCACTGTGCCAAATGCAAGAGATTCAAGTCTAAAGCAGGAGAAGCACCAGTTGCTCCACTTCCCTTAGAACGGATCACGGAATGCAACGCTTTCCAGTCTAGAGGCATTGATATGGCAGGACCACTGTACCTAAGAAACGGGGAAAGAGCATGGGTGGTTTTATTCACATGTGCCGTGTACAGAGCTGTGTGTAGTGTATACAATAATAATGTACCATAATTTTGCCATTTTTACGATATTTAGATTTCTGTTATAAAGAGTTGGCAATATGTTTTGCATTTGTGTCCTGACTGCGATCAGGCGACTGTGACGTCATATCGTACGATTTCAATAAAGCTCCCGGATTGGCTACAACCCATCACGCCACTATTCCCTCCACGTTTAACCGCCGTTCCAAAAGTTTCCTTGCTGACCAGTCCTCAAGATTCCAGCAAACCGTAACCATGTAGTCGGCCGGGTTTTATTTAATTCCACAAATGGTGTTTTTATTTCAAGTCATTGCACCCCAAACGTTCCAGTGGCGACGAGGTACGAAAATGACTCAACGCGTAAAAAGTTTTTAAGTGATTTAAGTGACAATCGAAGTGCACCGTAGCAAGGTACGTGTGTTTTTAAAAGTGACAATTGAACTTCTAGTGCACCGTAGGAAGGTACGTGTGTTTACAGAAGAATTCGGTCAAGTTAACTTCGAACAGTGCGTGTGAGTGTAAACATTAATGCCGCTTGATGTGAACCTTATTGATAACTTTGGAACTTTATTAAATTTCAAGATGTCGTTCATCGGTGCGATCGGTCCTTTTGATAATTCGGAAGAAACGTGGGACTCATATATCGAGCGTTTTGAATTGTTTGTTACATGTAACGATATTACCAACGCTAAAAAGGTTAGTACGCTTTTGACGGTTGTCGGAGTGAAAACTTATAACCTGCTTAAAGACCTATGTACACCAGACAAACCTGCTACTAAGAGCTACGAGGATATTGTACGGATCATTAAGGGACATCTACATCCAAAACCTTCTTTTATTGCCGAAAGGTACAAGTTTAGTCTACGAACACAATTAGAGCATGAATCAGTCGCTGATTACATCGTCAACCTGAAGAAACTCTCTGTCAACTGCGAGTTTAAGGACAAACTACCGGATCATCTTCGGGACAGGATCGTAAGTGGGTTGAGGGACGACGCCACCAAGAAGAGGTTGCTGGGCGAAGAAGATCTCACCTTCGAGAAGACGGTCCAAATAGCCACATCGATGGAGTTGGCAGCTAGAGACACCGCGGCCCTGACCTACCACAACACGGGGGGAGGAAGTCGTCTCCACAACGTCGCTTCGAAGCAGCAGCAGCAGCAGCGGAAGCCGTGGCAGCGCTCAAAAAGTGAAGTAAAGTGCTATTGTTGTGGTAAATCTGGTCATTTAAAAAGTGAGTGCCGTTTTAAAAGTTTATCTTGCAATTTTTGTAAGAGGAAAGGCCATTTAGAAAGTGCGTGTCTGATGAAGAAAAACAATGGTGAGTCACAATCTAAATTTGCATTTAATGATAAGCGTAAGGATGGACAAAAGAACTTTACACCTAAGTTTACCTCTGGTAACAAGTCTCATAAGTATAAGCAAAACTATGTAGAGAACACAGGTGTCAATGACAATGACGATGATTATAGTGATTTAGCTAATTTATTTTCCATAAATGATGAGGAAAGTAAACAGAGGGATAGAATAAAACCTATCACGGTTAATCTTAAAGTAGAACATACTGTATTGCCATTTGAGGTTGACAGTGGAGCATGCGTGTCAGTAATTTCTGAAAAGTGTTATAACGATATATTCTCTGATCTCGAATTAATGCCCACTAATTTAGTTTTGAGCTCATATACAAACCAGCCAATAAAACCTGTAGGAAAACTTAACGTAAATGTACAGCATGAATCTGAGCATAAAAAGTTAACTTTGTATGTTGTGTCTAAAGGGGCTAATCCTCTAATGGGAAGAGACTGGATTAGGGAACTAGAAATATCGATCCGAATCCCTAAACAAAATAGTTTGAACACGGTTGAAAAGCTAGATCAAAAACCTGTAATTGTCAGTAAACTGTACAGTAAATTTCCTGAGGTATTTACTGATGTGTTAGGTTGTTACAAGGGAGATGCAGCTAGATTAGAGTTGAAGGAAAATGTAATTCCTAAGTTTTTCAAACCCAGACCTATACCATTTTCGATCAAAAGTAATGTGGAGTCTGAGATTGATCGATTAGTAAATAATGGGATTTTAACTCAAGTTAGCAATAGTGAATGGGGAACTCCAATTGTGCCTATTTTGAAAAAGGACGGAAGTATAAGAATATGTGGCGATTTTAAAGTAACGCTCAACCCCTATTTAGTAGTCAATCGCCACCCAATTCCAAGGATTGAGGACATTTTTAATAATTTACAAAAAGGGGAGACGTTTTCAAAAATCGATCTTTCTCAGGCTTACACTCAGGTAAAGTTAGACGAGGAATCAAAGAAGTATTGTACAATAAGTACATCGAAAGGATTGTATATTTACAACCGAGTTCCATATGGTGTAGCATCCGCCCCGGGAATATTTCAGAGTATAATGGAACGCATTTTAGCTCACATTCCCGGCGTTGTTTGCTTCCTAGACGATATTTTGGTAACAGGAACTGATGACAAACAGCACCTAGAGAGGTTGATTCAAGTGTGTGAAACTTTAAAGAATCATGGTTTAACAGTAAGTCAAAATAAATGTCAGTTTTTCTGTAAATCTGTTGAGTATTTAGGGTACATATTAAGTAAACAAGGACTAGGCACATCTCCTAGTAAAATTGAAGCTATTGTAAACGCCCCAGTGCCTACCAATGTAACTCAGTTAAAAGCTTTTCTAGGTTTAGTCAATTATTATTCTAAATTTGTGCCAAGTATGTCTACCATTGTATCCCCACTGTATCATTTACTCAGAAAGGACACTCCATTTGAATGGAATTCATCATGTGACAAAGCGTTTCAATTAATTAAGAGCAAATTAGTTTCAGCTCCTATTTTGGCGCATTATGACCCAAATTTACCCTTGAGGTTAGCTACTGATAGTTCTGCCTACGGGGTCGGAAGTGTGTTAAGTCAAATGCAATCAGATGGATCTGAAAAACCTATTTGTTTTGCGTCAAGGACATTGTCTAAAGCCGAATCAAACTACTCTGTAATAGACAAAGAAGCTTTAGCTATTGTGTTTGCTGTTAAAAGATTTAATCAGTATTTGTTTGGTAGAAAATTCACACTAGTAACAGACCACAAACCATTGTTGTCAATTTTTGGCCCTAAAAAGGGACTTCCGGCTTTTGCCGCTAGCAGATTACAGAGGTATGCTTTATTTTTAGCCAGCTATGATTTTGACATACAATATGTTTCCTCTCAGGGAAATGCTTCTGCAGATTGTTTATCTCGCTTACCTTTGCAAGCCAAACATGTTAACGATCAGTATGAGGAAAATCCTTATGTAGGAACCTATTTGCAATTTTTAGCGGAGGGAGATATTCCAATTAGTTTTGTTGATATTAAGAGGGAAACACAAAAAGACACCGAGTTAAGTAAGGTATTTGGCTATGTCTTGTATGGCTGGCCTAATGAGGTAAACGAGGAATTACGACCTTATTTCATAAGGCGGAGCGAACTAACTATTGAGCATGGCATATTAATGTGGGGTTATCGGGTTGTCATTCCAAAAATGTATAAAAGGGGACTGTTACAAGAATTACATTGTGGACATTTAGGGATAGTCAAAATGAAGGCTCTAGCCCGTTCTTATCTATGGTGGCCTTCAATAGATAAAGACATAGAAGAACTTGCCAATAGTTGCTCGCAATGTCTCATGGAACGTCAAAGCCCGTCAAGGTCATATTTACATGTATGGGAATACCCAAAGTCAGCGTGGCAACGATTACACATAGATTTTTTAGGCCCTATTAATTCAAAGTTGTATATGGTTGTAGTTGATGCTTATAGTAAATGGATAGAAGGTAGAGGAGGTCAGTTCCACATCTGCCAAAGTAGTCATAAATAAATTGAGACCTATGTTTGCAAGGTTTGGAATTCCCGGAACAGTGTGTCACAGACAATGGCCCTCCTTTTATATCCTGTGAATTTAGCAAGTTTCTTAAAGCTAATGGGGTTAGGCACACGCTTACACCACCTTACTTTCCCGCTAGTAATGGCCCAGGCGGAAAATGCTGTAAAAACAGTAAAGAAAAGAATAAGAGGGGCTTTGTTTTCAAATCAAAATCCAGACTTAGCTTTAAGTAGATTTTTTGTTGGCATATCGAAATGCAGTACATAATACAACCAATGGAAACTCCAGCCAAACTAATGTTCGGTAGAGTATTGCGAACTACATTAGATTTGATACGTCCTTCTGTTAGTAAAACGGTTTTTGTCAAACCAAAACAAACAAATTGTAAACAAAGGGGGCAGTCAAACTAGAGAACTGTCCAATAGGACAGCGCTGTTTTAGTCCGTGATTACAGGGGAAGAAATAAATGGACACAAGGTGTAGTGATTAAAATGTTAAGTCCTGTATCTTATTTAGTAATATTAGACTCAGGTATTGTATGGAAACGCCCATATTGACCGTGGTCGGGTTAACACACTAAGGTAAATTTGAATGATCAACAGAATGATATTACTAGAGAGTAGTGTTGCCTCCACGCTGAACATATGTTTGACCAGGATGTTGGTAAACAATGCTCAGTCAGGCTGG